CTACTCTCTACTACCGTCCTTCGTCTTTCTTACTACTCTCTCTCTCTCTTCTCTCTCTCTCTCTCTCTCTCTCTCTCTCTCTCTTCCTCTCTCCCCCCCCTTCCCTCTCTCTCTCTCTCTCGTCCTCGTTTTCTCAACGTTATGACGTTCTATTGCGGCTCTCTCACGTCTTGGATTCTACCCTGAGCCGGCGAGCGTCCGCGAGGTAGTTGTGCGGCTGCAGCGCCGCCTGGTGCGCAGGGTAGCAACGATTGGGGGATGTGCAGCTCATCGAGGGTAAACGTGCATCTGCTAGTCGCTAGGGGCTTTAACGCTTTGTGCGCGACGTGCAGTTCATTTCTGCTCGATTTTAATTGTTGGAAACCCTCAGGAAATCCGCAGATAATGGCCGTGTTCCACGAGATTGGTCCGTATTTGCAGTTACGCACAAAGGGCGCGCCTATTGGTTAATAATGAACGAAAATTCCGAAGTTGAAATCGCGCCGGGATAATGAGTCAATGTGCGACAATGGCGGTGCGTTTTTGTGCGGAATAGTCGGAGTTTTTGTCGCATAAGCCTCCGTATTATTGGGCCGACGATTTTTCGCCGGATCCCTTGTGTAAATATACAGATAATTACGGCAAATTTGAGCTTTGAAACGATCAGCTGCCTGCCGATTAGTTATCCAGACATATCTAGCCGATAATTATGTTCTCACGGGATCCGCGCTGCGCTCCTTCCGCTGTGGGGGGAGGGGGGAGGGGAAGGGAGGGAGGGGAAGGGAGGGGAGGGGGGAGGGTGGAAGGGGGGAGGGAGGGAGGGGAGGGTGGAGGACTAATATTACAGCTGTTATGATCACGCGCCAGCAAAGCGCGCATCCACGTTAACTTTTACTCACGTATGTATGTAATAACGTATCGAATGAACATTAAATATATTAGTGCCTATAATATATATAATATAATAGTATATATAGTATAGTCATAGTATATATATATTTATTTAGTAAATAGTTTTATTTATTTAATTTATTTCATTTTCATATTACATGTATATATATCAATATGTGTGTGCCTACTCTTGTGTGTGTCGTGTGTGTGTGGTGTGTGGTGCTGGTGTGTACGTGCCGTGCGTACGCTCGTGTGTGTGTGTGCCGTGGGATTGCGTGCGTGTCCAAACATGTTACAGTTTCTACAGTTCCAGCGCTCGGCACGTCAGTCGCTGACCGTCGGTTTGTCGCGTCTGGCCGCAGATAAAGAAACGCTTATTTATGCAATAAACCACACGGCACGCCCCTGCCTGCTCGCTCTCCGCAGTTCACACACAGTCCCATCCGCCCTAGACTCGCTCACACCGCCTCCCGCACACCGCCGGGAACCCACGCACCCACCGACGCCGGTGTCCGTCTAAGTTAGAAGCTTTCCGAATTAGCGAGGCAGCTTCGCTGGCTGTTTGCTTTACACTTATCACAGCTGATGAGTATGGAGGCTGGAGGGAGATAATGAGTGTTGTGTTGTGTTGTGAGGGGGTCTCGCCCGCGCGCGCGCGCACACACACACACACACACCGCTGGGTTAGAAGAAGGATCTGCGCATACGTTAACAAGCATAATGGCCCCGAATGATAGCATTTCCACCCGACAAAATGGCGGATTTGAGCGAGGAAAGCCGCAGAACAAACGCCGCAGATACACCCCTCTCCGCGTTTATATATATATATATATATATATATA